TTTATTTATTTATTTATTATTGCCCCCTCCAGCTTCAAAATACAGCTTGTCAGCATGGTTGTTTTATTGAAGCATTCACTGCCTTCTATAGTCTTTATGGTATTTAGTGAATTTGAAGAAAAGAAAAGAACTTCAGGTAGATGGTGCAAATCTTGACAGATTTTAAATTGAAACTGGTTTAAAAGTCTTGCCATGTATTACTAAACTACCAAGGCAAAAAGCTCTGATGTTGATGCAGTTATGGTGGCAAAGTGTATTTTATACATAGTTCCAGAGAAGCGGTGGAGTCACCATCACTGGGGGTATTTAAAAGACGTGTAGATGTGGTACTTAGGGACATGGTATAGTGGTAGAATTTGCAGCATGCTAGGTTAACAGATCGGTTTGATGATCTTAAAGGCATTTTCCAACCAAAATTGTTCTATTAGTCTAACTGGAATTACCTACTGCAGTATGATTTTATTATGATACAGAGTTGTCTAGCTTCCATGGTACTTGGGATAAAGACAGTTAAAAGACAAGGCTCAAAGTTAAGAGCACTATCTGACAAACAAACTTTCCCAAATCACTTGATAGTTCCCATGGTACCTCTCGTCACATTCCCAGGGTAAATGTGCTGTATGTCAGGCAAGGATTGAGAACATGAAGGCAGTGCTGATACAACACAACTGGCTTTCTTGTTACTTATTTATTGCCATGGTTGCACATATTTTTCGTCTCTCACAGATGTCTTTATTTTGTGATTCCACTTAAGTATGCAGAGTGGATGTATGTGTAGAAGAAGGTACTTTCTTGGGTTTACTTCAAATAATAAGAGTAACAGATTAGTGGATGGGTTTTTTGTTTGAGAAAGCATTTTTAATTAAGACAGATCACATTGCCAATGAAATGGACTGGTGATGCATGGCAGGAGGAAGGTGATATGTGTTACTCTAATGTCTAATTAGTGGCTAATGTGGGGATTTCTTTATTCTAGGGAAGGTACTAAGTCATTTGATTATGTTGTCTGAATTCTTGTTACTTTTTTTTAACCTTAGGACTTTAGTCTGTTTAAACCTCCCTTAGGACCATTCAGATGCTTTCTGCTGGTCTTTGAAATTTCTAGGTAAATTTTGGTTAGTGACACTACATTTTATTTAATATCAAATAAATAGACAGTATTAGCTGTGCCTTGCTGCAGGGATTTTGTAACTTGGAATAAAATTAAGTTTGTAGTGAGGAAAAATAGGAGTAGGTTTGATTCCTGTTTGAGTCTGGCTGTCAGCTTGGGGCTAGTGGCAAAAAAACCACAGCTGCCCCCCTCTGTTGATTCCTTAATTTAGGCTTTTTGGATTTTATCCTCAGCATGTCAGTGTTACTGCCTTGTTGCTATGATACAATACTTACTCATGTAATCTGCTGAAGAATATTAGAAGCTCTGAGCAGAAATGTTATGTAACTTACAAATGTTTTTACAGCTGATGTTCATTATCTTGCAGGGTGTAACTATTAATCTCTTTGTAGTTATCTGAGTGAAATGAGCATCTTGCAGGATTTTTATTCAAAAGAAAAATCGTTTAAAGCTCAGAATTAACATTCTGAAGTATGAATTGTTCTTTGTGAGGGAGTAGTAATTGCTAGCTTTTTCAAAAGCTCATGAAGTTGTTATGCTCAGCTAATAGGATCATAACTGTCAGATAGGGAAAGGGAATATAATACAATGCAATTTTCTGGTATTTGAACTTTCAGGGCACAGAGAGCAGTTGTGATTATGGTGGAGGCATTTCAGTCCATTTTAACAATCACTTTTTGCTTATGGAAACTAAAGAATTTTACCAGAAAGTTCTTGAATATTAAAACCACTGACTGTTGTTGTTCCAGCCAGTAGATGGAAGGTGTTTAGATAAGAAACTTGAGGAACTGGCATTATCAGAGTGTGGGAGTTGTTAAACTTATGAACTTAATTTTAAGTGTGTTTAATTAGGATAATCCTAAAACAGTCAAGTGAAACATGATTTTTTTATTTATTCAGTTTCTAAAGTGAGACAAGATTTTTCAATACTCAGTTTTATGAGGAGGTGCTTTTTTCTTGTCTTGATAATTTGCTTACGATGAAATAGTGCTAATTTCAATACTGCTATGAATGAATGATTCTGAGGAATTAGTAGTCTGGCTACAGAGAGGTCTCACATTCTTCAGGGGGAGAGCATTCTTTATTCACAGATAAAACTGGAAATAATTCTTCACCAAAACAAGTGAAATCTCAACTGACTGATAAATGATGTAAAGTGTTGTTGCCAGAGTGGCTTAGAACCCCAACAAACAAATAAAAAAACCCAGATGCACTAAACCAATTTGTCAGTTAAAACCATGCTGCTTTTGTTGTGATCATGCAACTTTTTAACAGCTACAATATTTTAAGGATGTATTAATTTTTTTTAAGTGTACAGTACTTAATAATTCATCTCTTTTTAGAGCTTATGTGAAATGCTAACAGGAATTTTGCTTATCAGAGAAACTTCATTCAAATGAAGATGCCAAGTCATAGCCAAACATGTTGTCTTAATAAACCAAAAAAGCTGGAAACCATTTCATGACTAAAATTCTAATAAATTAGACTGAAGCATAAAAATTCAAGATTAATTCTTTTAAAATATTGGAGTTGATTTTTAAGGGAAACATTCATCACCTGATGTCAAAAGTATGTGAAGTATTTTGCACTGCTATAGAAAGACAAGGTTCCTTCAAAGCAGATTTTGCAGCATTTAAGCAGGTTACATAATAAAGGATTAGGGAACAGAATGAGACAAATCGGATGAATGAAAGGTTGGTACAATGCCCTACTTCTGTACATGACTTTTGATGAGGGAGAGTGTTGATACTTATGAGTGTCTATGTATTTCAAATTAAGTTAATTCAGGAATTTGCTTTCTGTAAATGTGTTTACTGCCACATATTTATCCATTATTTCTCCCATGAAACAAATGGTGAACAGTGGGTTTCTCACTCTAACATACTTCAACAGATGTTTTCAGTTTTGAGAATATTGCTTATTAGTTTGCTGTATGCTACAGAGCATATCGTTGCCCATAGTAGAAACCTGATAGCTAGGCAAATATTAGCCAACAAAATAGATTTAGAAATCCTGAGTTTGCTTCTACATCCTTAAGTATCGGTTTGTTTGTGTTCTTTTGTAGATGCCACCTTCAATGAACAGCAAGATCTTTTTTGTCAGAAGTTGCAACAGTGTTGTGTGCTCTTTGACTTCATGGACTCTGTTTCAGACCTGAAAAGCAAAGAAATTAAGAGAGCAACACTGAATGAACTGGTGGAATATGTCTCAACAAATCGTGGAGTGATTGTTGAATCAGCTTATGCTGACATAGTGAAAATGGTAAGTAGAATGCTTTTGTTACGCTTTGAATTTTAATAAAATGTCATAAATTAATAATTTATGGCTGTGATGACATCTAACTCAGAATTGCTGTTAGTTATTCTGCTTTGAAAATATAATTCATTAATGATAACTTGGCTTACTAGATTGTTTAGAAGGCTTGTAAAAACAAACAAGCTACTTGTAAGTTTTAATAAATATGGTGTATTCAGGGTAATTAAAATTAAAGAACTGGTATATTGCAGATGCTTGCAGCCTGAGTAAGCTTTGAAGTTGTTCTTGTTTAACATTTGGAAATATTTTGGTGCTGCTTGTCTTTGGTTATTTAAGAATGGCAATGGGGTGACAGGCTAAAGGTTTCTGGTAAAGATTCTTGTGGGTGCTAGTGTCAACTGAAAGGTTTATCAGTATAAGAAGGCTACCCTATTTTTTAAATACTTTATGTGTCTGTTACTGTTTCGGCCTTGGAGAGCTGGGCTAGAGTAGTCTAAGTGGTTTGCTTAAGTTGTAAACCACTGGATTATTTGTACTGTGCAATTTCTACAAATGGCTTGTTGAATAAGCAAGAAAATACTTGTGGTCATTATCTGCTGACTTTCCCAGGTTTTTTGTATGCATTTTCAAATGCTGTGTCAGTGATGATTTGGAGTTGCCTATGCTCCATGTACACAGAATGCAACTGAAGAACATGTGACAGTAATCCGAAATATTTTAAAACTGCTTTTTCTAAACATTTGAAATTTGAAAAGAATGTATTTAGTGCCTGTGTAATTAAGCTAAAGATTCTGTAAATTTTGGTTAGGTTTACATGGGCACAAAGCTGTCTTTAAAAGTAGAAGACCAGTTCAAACATACAGCCTAGGACTTTTGTAGTTTTCTATAGAGTTCCAGCTGACTTTTCTAAACGTTTTTGTTTGGGTTTTGGTTGTTTTCTTTTTCTGCAAGCTGCTGATATGGAAGATCAGAGCTTAAGTATAAATAAGCGTCGAAGTTTTGCCATTCTGTTGTTTCACCAGATGCTTATTCAGTTTTAAAAGAGTTCTAGGACACTATGGCTTTTTGTCTGGTTTTAAAGGACCTGTGTATCTGTCCTAAATGTTTTTTTACACCAGATAATATAGAACAGAGTATGCCCACTTCTTCTTTGGCTGCTTTTATTTTCACTGCTGGTGGCAGCAAGCCTGAATCATTGCAGTATTTTCTTACTCTGCTTACCCTCTATGGCCTCTTGTTAGAAGAAAGAGTATACTAACTAGCCCAGCATACTTGTTGAAGGGAGATCTTCTTTTATATTAGAGTTGTTTTCTTTTCTTGGAGATAAGGTGTTGTTGAGATGTTCTTTTGAGGTTGTTGTTGTTGTGCAAATGATTTGGCTCTGTGGATGCTTGTTTTTCCTTCCATAACAAATTTCTATCTCCTTTTCTCCCCTAAAATGACAGAAAATTAAGGAGGCCTTAAAATGCTCAGTGAGAGCTTTTTCAGAGCTTGAGACAAAAGAACTCTCCAAGCCTGAATAGTATTTCTAGTCTCCCTGGCAACTGGCAGCAGAAAAGGTCTCTGCTGTGAATTAGGACTAAGTACCAGCTTTCAGAAAGAACTCTGGATGGGTTTCTCCCTCCAAACAACAGTATGTCAGGCTTCTATGAGAGTTCTATTAGAAGAGTTGTGTTTTTTTGTTGTTTGTTTGCTTTTAAATTTAAGATTACTCAGTGTTACTACATTTAAAGAAGAATGCATTTGAGTTTTTTTGCTGAGTTTGAAGGATAGTGTTTTTGGGACAAAAAAAGTAGAAATCAGCCTTAATGAAACCCAGCTATCATATGATTGGTAGTAAAGGATGAACAAACTACAAAAATTCACTTAAAGTCAGAATGGTGTTAGTGGCAGAAGCAGAGCTAATTTCTTTCCAAAGCCCTTTGTCT